GAATTTGGCACCAATTAATTCCTCAAGGAAGGTGGTATGATTAAGCACAAACAAGCAATGGGTCGATAGGTAGGTCCTAGTAATAACAAGCTACACTTGTATAATTGCATGTGTGTATTGCTTATTAGTTTTGTTGACCTTAAAAACTACTAAGCCTATGTGGCGTGCATGTCAAGTAACTAATAAGCTAATTACGTCATTCGATTGTGTGCGGGACGTGCCAACTCGTCGGCTGAGTTCGGCCGGGGAGTAAAATATGTTGACGTTGCATTGGGCATGCTGCTGACTTCTTGATCTTACAACTGTAGCCAAGGAAGGAACACGTCTCGGCCTTTGGGTTCTAGAGCTTGAAGACAAGACTGCTAGTTTCTTTGAAGTTCACGAATCGTCGACGTTAGGTTTGGTCTTGGTAATTATATTCGTGAGAGTATAAGTACACCGAACTAGTACCAAACTGTACGGACATAAATACTTGAAAGAGATAAATGTCTTGATTGTAAATGTGGTTTGACCATCGGAATGCCGAACTTTAAAATGTACTTGCGAATATCCGATCACAAAATAACACTCGGCGTTCAATATGCTGAGCCTAGTAACCTGTAACACCTTACTTCGCAGAGAAGGCTGATAAGATGACCTCTACCAACAAGGACTAGAGAATCCTTGCCGACCGAGACTTGGATAATAACCAGTCGGTCTCGAAGTAATGTTGTTTATCCAAACTGAAGGTGCTCCTCAGTCAACTAATTCTACGGCTTCAGTGTTATTTATCCAAACTGAAGATGTCATCGGTTGCCTTCACAGTGCTGTTTATCCAAATTGAAGATGTGTTAACGGGAAGAAAGGGAAGAAGGAAAAAATCTCAGGGTTGTTGAGAAACTTTGCGCAGGGCAATTTGTGTGTTGATTTGAATGGGCCTTGAATGATGCATCCTCTTCTTTATTTATAGCAGCGAACCCCCTCATGGTCAAACTAGAAATGTACTCAGATTAGAACTCCTCAACCCAACCTGATCAGGTTTCGGTTAATCCTAACTCCTATAGGACTTTGAACCAAGTTCCTTAATAAACCCGATTCATCCTCTAATTCTAAGCATCTTCAACTTTAAGACTTCTTGTTGCATTAGGGTTTGACTACCTCACCTTATCTAAACTAATCCTTCTCGCAACAGGATTCAGTCGACCTTGACTGGACAACCCATGACAAGATTCTAGATCAATGTTATTGGGCCGAGAATGACTCTTAACTCCGTGCCCAAACATTACCCCATTGCTTCTGAGGTCTTTGACCTACAAATCCTGGCCGAACCTCGACCTTGAAGGAGTGATTCATTGCCAAAGAATAAACCCTTAGCATATTCCTTCTAGAAAAAAACATAGAATATTGCAAACCTCGAATACTCCAATCACCCAGACGCATTTATTAAGCATGGTCTTTCCCCTATCAGTTTTTTGAAAACACTACATATCTTGACACATGGCAGCTCCTCATTGCGACTGTCCATCTTCAATCATGCGTGTCCCACGTTCGAGGTGTGTAGACACCGAAACGTTTATTCGTCATAAATTTTGTCGTTACACACAATCGTACAACCTTAATTCTGGTGTTTTTCGGCCTCTTCACCTAGATTTCAGAAGGTTTGTTATGATTATGAAAATTTTTGGTCGGATTTACACTTCATCTCTTAAACCTAAGCCTTTGATCTTCTCCCTTAATCGCCTATAAATACTCTGCCCAACTTCATTCGAACTTCCACATTTTCAACTTCTAGAAATTCTTGCCATTTGTTCTCAACCCATAAAAAGAAACCAAATTTCAAAACCCAGAAAAACCTCTAAACCTTCATCAATGGCCACCAATACCTTTATTACCAAGTCCACCAAGGAATGCGACTAATACCGAGACTTCATCGATCATAACGCTATTAAAACCCTCCGATTTGAGGGTGATTCAAGCGCCTCTCACCAGATTCTGGGACCACTTTTTAAGGACGACGTCCTAGAAATCATCATTGAGATGATGAAGGCCTACTGCCTTAAACTTTTATTCTAAGGGTATGATTAGTCAAAGTGGGAATCGATCAAACCCCAAGAAGCTTGGCCATCGACCTCCGCAACTTGGGCTGCTTGGGTCACCCGTATAGAGCTACACTTCGGCGATAAGTGGAAAACTTTTGGCATTTTCGACACTATCAAACTTTCGACCCATGAGATCAACATGCACTGAGAGATCCTGATAGCGGCCCTGAGCTTTTGGTGTTCGGCCACTAACACTATGGTCCTTCTTCTTGGCCCCATTGGCCCGACCGTGGTGGATATCATAGCCATACTCAGCACTTCCCCTGTTGGTTTTCCAGTTGATACTGCTCTTTCTCGGTATCGATTTGACCTGGATCTGAAAATGGTTTTCCACAAGCGTGTCATCGAAGTTCTAGCAAAGAAGGATTAAGGGACATCAAAAGAAGATGTGCATAAACTACACAAAAACTTCTTCATCTACATCACCTTAATCAACCACTTTGCTGGCTTATAAGGGGAATACCTCAAGAAAGAAGAACACGAGGCATTTTTCTTTTATTGGTACAATGAATTCATTTTTTTTACCAAGTTGAACAAGTGCTTGGCCGAGAATATGCCAATGGTCGAAGCTCTGGCCAATGGTCACGTCCTAGCCCTCAGCCTGATCATCCTCGCCAATCTTACTTGGTGCTTGGCCGAGGCTTCCATTGGGATAATCGACCTGCACCAGAACGACCCGTTCTAGGTATTTAAACTCTGCCTGCAAGTATATTTCTCCATGTTAAGGCCGGAAATCCCAAACTTTAACTCTTATAAAGGGATGGGTCTTCAACTGGCCTCGCACCCTATTCCCACTCTCTCGGTCGAAGACATTTTCAAGTATTTCTTCAGCCTTGAAGATTTGTCAGACGAGTTTCTAGTCTGCCGCCTTCAGAAATATCCGTCTTTCATCCAACTCCCAACATCGACATGGGAGAAAATAAAGGAAACTGGCATTCGACAATCTTAGGGGTCGTTTACCCTAGGTCGCAACCTTCCCTTTAGTTGCGATGCCCAACGAGCCAGTTGGGAGGTCTACCATCCCCATTTTATGGCTCGGTAATTGGGATATCTTCAAGGATGTCTTGTATCGCTCCTTACTTCTCGCTAAGTCTTGAGCCAAGAATGCCTTTCCAACTCCTCGGAGAAGGAATGCGAGGAAGCTGAGAAAAAATTCCAAGAACGATGTACCAAATTCCACTTTTGGCCAAATACTCCAGAAACCCATTGTACCAGCACATTTGTCGATTGGTAGGATGCCTATATCAAGGATTTTTCGGTGTTTCGACCGAGGAAGTTTCAAAGAAACTTTTTGGCGATCAACCAAAGAAAACTTTTGCTCTAAAATCCAAAGAAACGGCCCAAGGTATTTATCTTTTACTTCTATGTTCATCTATTCATTTTAAACTGCATTCTGACTCAGGTTTAGCTTTTCCAAGTGGTCGTGCAATAAGATGGGCTGATGTGGTTGCGATGGTTGTAGCCATGAAGAAACTTGCCCCTCATTCAAAGAAGGTTGCAACTGCTGTGCCGACCGTACCAAGAAAACGGCCTTGCTCGGAGGCTTAGACGACTGTAATGCTGCCCAACCCCACAAACGTGTTAAGAAGAAGGCAAAGAAAAGAGAGCGGGAGATATATGTCATTTCGAGTCAAACCACAGGAGCAACCACTCCTAGTATCCCTCTACCTTCTCCGGTTTCCAAGTGTCAGTAAATGGATCGCAAGACCCTTCGATCCCAACCATGGGCCAGGCAACCATGGTTCAACCCACCACGCAAGTCACTGTTGAAGTTAAAACAGTCGTTCCCCAGTGATCGATGAACTTGCAACTTCGGGGCTGGCTGTTGTTCTTGTTGATGTTGGCCCAACAGTTGCTACTCTAGAGCAAACGACAACCGCGACCGAAAGAAACTCTTCCTTTAATCCAAAGAAAAATCCCATGATCATCCTGGAAGAAGAGGTATAACAATTTCCTTTCATGTTCTCCTTTCATTTTGACTGGATATCTCGAGTAACAAACGATCCTTTTTTATAATCAGGAGAATGAGAGCGAAGTACCTTCACTAGTAAAGCGCCCTCGATGGGTTGAACCATCAACTACAAGTCATTTGCCTATGGACAAGGGTAAATGTGTAGTCGAGACGGCTAGCCAGGTCAAGCCCCATGCAGCTGGAGTAGGTCTTGAACATAAAGTGGCACCCTTTGTTAAGCCAGAATTGACGATAAAAACGCCAGCTCATCCATAGGACCAGGACCTCGGCATCCCTCCTCATGAGGCTACTTCGACCTTTGTAAGACTCATCATCATTTTCTTTTATTAACTTCCTGCCCTAAAACTCTAAACCAAGAAAAACATTAAATGCCAGGTGCCCAGTCGCTTATTTCACCAAAAATTTTATGCACCAAATGGCGTTATTTATATTTCTTGGCCATCCTGGTAGCTATCAAACATAGATAATCTTCATCGGCCGCATAAAATGAAAAGCTGCCTTAAACACTAGGCTCAGCCATTAAGCTTTTTGGGTTCGACTAACAAACCAGCAGAAATGGCCGAAGTCTCTTTTCGGCAGGTTTAACACAACTTTTTTATCTACCATTATTTTGAATTCTCTTTTCTCTAACAAATCTTTTCTGTGTAGCCTTCATAGGAAGTCGAGCTTGATGTCTTTCTCTCAGCACTTCGGGGACAATTACGCTTTCTGGATCCACTGTTGAGTTTAGTGCCCTTGCCAAGCTGTAGGAACTTCTAACTCTCTCGACCTCACAAATCCTCCAAAGCAAAGGCCTCAATTCTATAAGAGAATGCTTAAACAACCTTGCAGTCGACGACTTACTGAGCAACAAAAGTTATGTTCATCTGTCAACTATCCTGGAAAGAACTCGACAATATTTCATTGTTTTAGAGAAGGCTCTTCGAGTAGAGGACGACTTCAAGGCTACAATGGTCACTCACGAAGCTATCCGACCAAAGCTTGAGGTAATAAAGGCAAAGAGGGAAAGACTGGCAGACCTTGACCGTCAGATCACCGAACTTCAACGTCAGAGATCGCCTGTTGCTTCTGAGCTTGACAATGATTTTAAGCCAAACAAACCTCGATTGGAAAAGTACACTACTGGTGCTAAACGAATATTGTAACTAAAGGCTGACAAAAGAACACGACAAGCCAAGGTTACAATGGGCGAAGTGAAGTGGCTAGAACTTAAAGCCACTTTTAAAGCTTTTTTTCTGTCGACTTCTTAGGATTTTTGTGCCTTTAGTTGTAGGATGGTTGATTTCTTTTTGTAATTTTGTATATATCCTTTTTGAAGATTAATGAAATAAATCCTTTATTCTCCTAAGTGACTGGATAATATTTCTTTAAGAATTTCTCATTGATTCGTAATTTATGAATTAAACCAGTTCAATCCTTGAGGTGGTATGCCCCTTTGCCGAGAACTTTGTGAACGATGAATGGTCATTCCCAATTCGGTGACCATTTCCCGAATCTGGGGTCTTTTATCCCTACTGGTAAAACGGTTTGCCACACTAATTCACCTTCGCCGAACATCTTTTGCCTGACTCATCAATTATAAGCTCATTCAACAATCTTTTTTTGCACCACTAGCAAGTTATAGGCATCGAGCCGAGCTTCTTCCAAATCCTCAAACTCTTGCCTCATAGACTGACTATACTCGGCGTTGACCAAATTGCTTTGTTCAATAACTCGTAACGAGTTTAAGCTTAGCTCGACCGGTAGCATCGCATCATGTTCGTAAGTTAATGCATATGAGGTCGTCCCTATTGCTGTTCGGAGTAAAGTTCGATATGTCTATAATGCCTTGTTTAACTTCAAATGCCACTTATCAGGCTTTTCTTTTATCATTTTCTCAAGGATACCGATTAAAACTTTATTACTTGCTATGGCCTGTCTGTTTTCCTGTGAGTAATATGACATGAATTGATCGAGCTGAATTTTCAAACTTGCTGTGTATTCTTTAAACCTGTCGGCTGTAAAAATCGTGTCGTTGTCCATTTCTAGTACTCTGAATCTTGTCACGATGTTTTCTTTTACAAAATTACAAACTTCTTTGGATGTTAACTCGACGTATGATTTTGCTTTAACCCATTTAGTGAAGTAGTCAGTCACCACAAGTATCCATGCATACTTTGCTGATCTGGAGGACCGCGTAATTTTGCCGATTACATTCATGGCCCATCCTCTGAACAACCATGGTTTGGTTACCAAGTGAAGTAATTCGGTCCTGATCCTTTGTATGGGTCCATGGATTTGACATTGCATACACCTTCGCGCATATTCAATGCAATCTTTTAATATACTTGACCAAAAATAACCATGTCGATGGATTAACCAACATGTTTTGCATCCGGATTGATGAGCCCCACATATTCCTTCTTGTACCTCTGCAATAATTTTGGCAGCCTCATCGGGTTGAGGCACAAGAACAACAGACTGTCTTCACCTTTTCGGTATAGTTCATTCTGGTACATTATGTAATTTGTGGCGTGTACCTTTGTCTTGCAGTCCTGTTTGCCACTTGATTGTCAAGATAATGCATGATTAATCTTCTTTAGTAGTCTGGTAATGTCTCAATCGTGCATATATCTATAGGATTCTCTCATTCCAACAACAAGGGTAGGGACATAACTCGTGTACGGATTATGTGGTCATGTTGGATAACTTGTTGATTAACCAAGGCTGGGTGTAGAAGTCGTACCACTGGTATAACTTGACCCAGTTCACCCCCAATAGTTGTACTCCGGAGGCTATTTGAGTCAACTCATCTGAGTCAGTATTTCAAACTCGTGAAATGTGCTTGAACATAATGCCTGCAAATGATTCGGCTAAATAACTGGCAACCATACGATAGGGCACCAAAGTACAATTCATGCAACGAAAAGTGTCATTGAGTTGGTTAATCACAAGTTCTGAATGGTCGAGGACGAGCACGCGGGATGCCTTCAAGTCGTAAAGGACATTAAAGTCGATAACAAGGCCTTAATATTCCGCCTGATTGTTTGTACAGTCAAAATCCAACTTGAGAGAAAAATACCATCGGTAGTAATCAGGGGACTGGATGATGATTCCAATGTCCACCATGGTCAAGGTACTAGAGCCGTCAAAATACATCGTCCAATAATTATCACGTGTTTCCACCATGCCAATTTCGATGTCATTGCCTCCAAAAGCGTATGGAGAAGGATGTTAAGCTAAGAAATCGGTCAGCGCATGTCCTTTGATGGCCTTTTGGGGTACATATTACAAACTAAATTCGGACATCACCATTGTCCATTTCCCAATTCAGCTTTTTACTATCGGTCGAGTAAGCATATAGCGACTAACATCTATCTGGGTGATCATTTGAGTAACAGAATGGAGCATGTAATGCCTGAGTTTAAACGCAGCAAAGAACATAGCCAAACAAAGTTTCTCGACAGCTGAGTAATTTATCTCAGTCGAGTTGTCGAGTGAGCATATAGCGAATAACATTTGTCTGGGTGATCACCTGAGTAACAGAATTGAGCATGTAATGACTGAGTTTAGACACAAGCAAAGAATAAAGCCAAACAAAGTTTCTCAACAGCTGAGTAATTTTTCTCAGTCGAGTTAAGATTTCGGCTAAGATAAAAAATGGCCTACTTCTGCCTAGTATGGTTGTCTTGTGCAAGAAGACAGCCAATGGATTCCTCGGCAGTCGAGATATACAACTTAAGAGGTTTACCGCGCTGAGTTGGTATGAGGACAGGTGGGGTGGTGAGGAATACCTTGATTTACGTGAAAGCGTCCTTATGTACTTCGCGTCATTCGAATATGTCAAAATCCTTAAGTTTCAAGTTAGTGGAAAAAGTCTTCATTTTCCATGTCGAGTTAGAAATGAAATAGCAGAGGAAATTGATTTTACCGAGTAAGGATTGTAATTGCTTCTTGGTTGTTGGGGTTGGAGCATTAATGATCGCTCAAGCTTTATTCTCATCGACCTCAATGCCACGATGATGTACAAGGAAACCTAAGAAGTTACCTGCCGATACACTAAAGGCACATTTGGCAGGGTTCATTTTAAGGTTATGTTGGCCCATACGAAGGAAAGCTCACCGAAGATCATCTAAATATGTTCGACAGTGCTTCAATTTGACCACAACATCATCAATATATACCTTAACGACTATGCCAATCAAGTAATTACAAATGGTATTCATAGAGATTTGATATGTAGCACCGACGTTCGTAAGTCCGAATGACATGACGACCCATTTGTAGGTCCCGAGTGCCCCAAGGTAACGAAAAGCAGTTTTGCAGACATCGGCCTCAGCAATGAAAATCTTGTTGTACCTAGCACGCCCATGAAAGATAACATCTTGTGGTTTGCTGCAACATTGATTAGCAAGTCTGAAATTGGCATTGGATATTCGTCTTTAGGGGTTGCCAAGTTTGTTTGTACCATACTTAGGGCCTCCATATTTAGATCTCGTATAAATACTCGGGGGACTCAAATGTAATTATGTAATAAAGGAAGAGGCAAATATGTAATAAGTGAAAAGCCCTTATTCTATAAAATGACTCCTCACCCTCACAATAGGAGGAGGCCAATTCCTAGGCCCTCTCACCCCCTCTCAAAGCCTCACTCTCATTACAGAGGCTCTCACATTCTCTCCCTCACTTCTCAGATAAATACAATATTAGTGTGTACGTAGCCCAAATCTTGGGATGAACCACGATACATCTTGTGTTATTTACATTTCTGCATACAAAACCAGATGCAGCTGCCCTGACCCAAGACCTTCCGCTCGTTGATGTTCATTATGAAGGCATTAGGGAGGAAACCGGCAAAGTCTTTGACACGATGCATGAAGGTAATACAATTTTCTCATTTGAGGTTGGGAAAGGTAGTGTGATCAAGGCTTGGGATTTTGCAGTGAAAACCATGAAGGTTGGGGAGATTGCTAAGATCACTTGCAAGCTGAAATATGCCTATGGTAGTACGGATTCTCCACCAGATATTCCACCAGAATGCATGTTGGAAAGAATCATAAGTTCATTTTGGGAATGCAAGCTCTGCTGGATCTCATTTTCATAGTTGACGTTTCTGTCTCAGAGACAGCAAAGTTCCTGGGGTATAGCTTTTGACGAAGGGAATAGCTTTTCCCAACAAAGGGCTTAGTTTTACCAAACATTCACAAGTGCTAGCATGTTGATGCTTGGTCGCACTTATCCAACAAAAGAAAAGAGCAAAGCAGAAAGTGAAAAGAAAAAAGGAAAGAGCAAAGCAGAAAGTGAAAAGAAAAAAGAAAAAGAAAGGCTGCATGTGAGTATGCCTGCAGGTGAAAAGGAAAAGCATACATTTATCCCTCAGACAGCTTAACCACTCTCACAAAAGCAAAAGCAAACATAAAGCAAAAGAAGATAAAAATAAGCAGACATAACTGTGGTGGTGATGGCATTATGGGCGTGACCCACTGAGCAGAGGGTGGTCAGATTTATTTTTGAATGATGTAATTTATTTTTCTTATCTTTCGGAGGCATCTGTATAAACCCCGTCAGAGGATAAAAAAAATAAAATAAAATAAAACGGCAAAACCCAAAATAAATGGGCTGGAATGTTGAGTAGAGGGCGAAGGCCCATAAGCCCAAAATAGCACCAACCAGGTGAACCAAAGTACGTCAAGTACCACAAAAAAATTATTCGGCACCCCGCTGCTATTATCGCCAACCTGGTGATCAAAAGACGCCCAGTACTCCAAAATTATTCGGCAGCCTACCGCCATTATCACCCACTAGGTGATCAAAAGTACGCCTAGTACTTCAAAATTATACATAAGCATCACTCATATCAATCATACATAAACATTCATGAGCATTACTCATATCAATCATACATAAACATTCATGAGCATCACTCATGTCAACATTCATGAGCACCACTCATATCAACATTCATGAGCATCACTCATGTCAACATCCATGAGCATCACTCATGTCAATCAGCTTCAAAAGCTTCATTTACAGAGCTCTAGCTTCAAAAGCTTCATTTACAAAAGCTCTAGCTTCAAAAGCTTTATTTACAGAGATCTAGCTTCAAAAGCTTCATTTACAAAAAGCTCTAGCTTCAAAAGCTTCATTTACAGAGCTCCAACTTCAAAGCTTTCACTTGCAAAGCTTCACCTACAAAGCTTCAGTACAGCGTATACAAATACCGCTTCTGAACAACCGCCACTTCGGCCCATGCATGGATTCAATTTGAAGTCTCTAGCCAAAAGACTCTATTGACCGAATACTTGGGGGACTACATTATGTACCATATATTGGGCCTCAACTAGGCCTCATGAAAAATACTTGGGGAACTTAGCCCATTATTTATGTACTGAGGAACGAGCCCTTATTTTATAAAAGGGACTCCCTTACTTTCATTAGAGAGCACCCGTTATTCAGGTACTGAGGAGTGAGCCTTTATTCTATAAAAGGGACTCCCTCATCATCATTAGAGAGCATCAACTCTAGCCCATTATTCATGTATTGAGGAGCGAGCCCTTATTTTATAAAAGGGATTCCCTCACCATCATCAGATAGCATCACCGCCTACTGAGCAACCGCCTCGCCGCGAGCATCAACTCTAGCCCATCATTTATGTATTAAGGAGCGAGACCTTATTCTATAAAAGGGACTCCCTCACCTTCAAACGCAACAAGCCGAGCTAACCAAGGCAACATAAGCCATAAGCAGAGCAGCCTCGCAACATGTGCTACTTCTAGTTGAACATCATTTCACTTTAAGCACCACCTCATATTAAGTATCTGTTCAAGATGACATCTAGTTACTTTGGCCCACACATGGACTGAATTTCAAGTCTCCAGCCAAAAGACTCTCTTGACTGAAGACTTGGGGGACTACTGTTTGTACCATACTTAGGGCCTCCGTATTTAGATCTCTTATAAATACTCGGGGGACTCAAATGTAATTATGTAATAAAGGAATGGGCAAATATGTAATAAGTGAGGAGCCCTTATTCTATAAAAGGACTAATCACCCTCACAATCGGAGGAGGTCAATTCCTAGAACCTCTCACCCCCTCTCAAAAACTCAACCTCCTCTCAAAGACTCACTCTCATTACAGAGGCTCTCACATTCTCTCCCTCACCTCTCAGATAAATACAATATCAGTGTGGACGTAGCCCAAATCTTGGGGTGAACCACAATACATCTTGTGTTATTTACATTTCTGCAGATTCACGGTCGGATTTACGTTGTTCCAAGACCTCCGGTTTTGTGCATCAACAAAGTTTAAATTACGAAAATCAATGCAAATATGTAGAGCATCACTTTTCTTTAAAATTGGGACAATATTCGCCAACCATTTGACATATCAAGCTATCGGAATAAAACCGGCTTTTAAAAGTCAAACGAGTTCATCTTTTATGCCAAGTTGAACTTCGATCGAGAATTATCAGAGGGGGGTTGGCGAAAAGGTTTACAACCAACCTTGATTCGTAATTCATGCTCGACGAATGTGCGATCTAGGCCAGGCATCTCATGGTAACTCCAAGCGAAATAGTATTTAAATTCTTTGGGCAATTTACAAAGCTCAACTTTCATAGGTTGGGGTAACAAAGAACTAATAAATAAATGCCAAGGGTTATCGGCCAAGGCAGCTTAGACTTTATCAAGTGACAGGATTGGACCGTTGTCTCATTCGACGAGGAACTCTACTAAGTTTACTTTAAATCTTGGTGAACAGTCTTGGTGTCAACCTCAATGGCTTTCTGAACTGAGATCCGAGTCGGTCGTCCTTCTTCGTTAAAACCTTGCGGGGTGATGTAGCCGACGTGATGATTATAATAGCGAGCTTGAAGCATATTAGCTTCGAACGACTGATTGTCGGCCGGATGAACTACGATCGAAAGATGAGGACTTGATATAATGACGAAGGGATATAGCTAGCTTAGTGGATCCAGTCACGACCAAGGAATGCATTATACTCGATCTTTGAATCGACTATAAAAAATAAGGTCATGTGATTTTAACCTACGATTTTCACCTCTAAAAGAATGACTCCCTTAGTCTGAGATTTGTCACCGACAAAGATGTTCATGCTTACCTCTGATGGAATGAGTTCCTCATTGGATTAATGTAGTGTTTTCATGATAAAAACGGATATGATGTTGATTGTTACTCCACAATCAAATTTTTTTTTAGAAATCGGGCATCCTTCAATATGGGCCATGACATACAACGGCTTCAAGTGATGAAGATCAATGGATGAAAAATAGGGAAACAGTTCGGCGAGAGCTGCTTTAAGTTTATCCTCTTTGCTTATTTGCTCAACTTCTTCGATGGTTACAAAATTAACTTGCGTGACCTCCTTGATAATTTCGTCACCGTCCAGGAAATTTGGTTGGGATGTTTTTGGCCGGATTTCTGCAGATAAGACATGGACCACGCTGATTTCCATGTTGTCGAAGACCGAAGGGCCCATCGGGTTATGATCTTTGTCCTCTAGATTTTCGGGCGATATGTCTTGCTTATGGGCATCACTTGCTTGGCCATCTTCGGCTGTAGTGACAACATGTTCATACGGCATGTTTGTCGAAATTGTTTTGTATTGAATTTTATCCACTGTCTCGCTCGTCTTGGTACTTGGTCTTACGCTTGTGAAGCCTTGTGAGTCCGCTCCTAATATCTGACGCGGGCATCTCTTGTGGCCAGGTAAGCATCTAAATGTGCCACACACTCTTTTTCATTGGCCATAAGGCCGAAAAGGGAAACAGCTGAGAAAACTTCAAAATGGTACCACAGATATTGGAGGTCCTCGAGAGAGAAAGGAAGATCGGCAGTATCAATATCAGTGTAAGGTTCTACCTCAAAGCCGAGAACTCGGGCCTCGCGTATATGTTGGAACCTAGCTTTCATTCCCGGATCCATGGTCTTTTGGATGATCTGTTCAGCATCGGGGCAGGTTAACGCCAGATGAAGAGACTCTTGACATGCTTTTGGTAGGCCATACAAGTCCTTAGCCGAATGTTTCTTGTGAAACTCCCGCATGTATTCCAAAGCTTAACCAAGAAACAGCGGGTGGATATTTCACCAAAATTTAATTAATGGCTTTTGTGAGGGTAGTGGAGGACGCTTGCTTTTGACTTTCTTCTATAAGTGCTCAATGCGAACATTTATCTCCTTAGGCCGAAGGAGTTTAATTCGATTCTCGGATTCTTCAATTGTGGTTCCAAAATCACGATTGATCACCATCTTTCCTCAAAGCAGCTCGGCCATGATTGCCGGAGGTTGTTGGTCATCTTCGTTATCCACCATTTCTTTCAGCTACCATTTGGTACCTGGGGTAACCTAGGCTGCTCATCAGTGAGCCATACAGTCTATTATTTGGAGGTAACATTTTTACGACTTGGACAATGCAGTTTATGCACCGGTAGGGGAGTTGTAGCTATACCAATGCTGGTCGCGTGGCTTATGTGGCTTGAAGGTTCACCGGTACGTAGGTGAACTTGAGATACCAGAGTTGCACGCATAACAATCTTTATTGTAAAATGGCACGTCGAAATCAAGTCATCGTTTGGCCGAAGATGACTTATTATCCTGTGTTTGAGGGTCAAGCCTATCGAAAACTTTCTGGCATTAGCTTGCATCAAGGACTTTTTGAGATGTTGCCATGGCTGCATGCGTCAATTGCGGTGCTTCAGCCTGAAGCGGCTATTCCTTCAGCTTAATTATGATGACGTTTGATTTGCATCGACTACATAAAACCATCGGCCCGTTAGTTTCCTTTATGCTGGAGTCTGACAGTAACTCGGCATAAGCAGGTTTAAAAAGTATTTGGGTGGCTCGTTCAAAGATAGATCAACTTTCATTCGCGGTTGAGAATTCTACTCAAGGACTTGTTGAGTCGGGATGAATTCGGCTTTTCCTTTCCTCTTATCCTTGGGTAAATGAGTATCTACCATGCTTACCATCGTCAAAAGGAAATGATCGATGTCAATGACCATTGGAGGTTTCTCGGGAAACTTGACTTTGCTATTATCGATCCAGCTTTAGATGGCGTCGTGAAATACGATACAATTATTTGTCGTA